TCTGTCTGAAAGGTGACATATCTCTGTTTTTCCAAGATTGTTTTCTTGTGCCTGATTTAGTTTATTTGGTGAGGTCATGTTTTCCTGGATTGTCCTAATACTTGTAGATGATTGTCTGTGTCTAGGCATTGCAGTTTTAGGTATTTATTATAGTCTTCGCAGCCTGTGTTTGTTTGTACCTGTCCTTCTTGGGAAAGATTTTCAGATATTCAAAAGGTCTTGGATGTTGCGGTCTAAGCTATGTCTGCTTTAGGGTGGTTCTTAGAGACTCATAAAGATACTGCCTTGATGGTTTTGGACAAGATCTGAAAAGAATTCTCCAGATCATCATACAGAGACTCTTGACCTCTTCTCTTCTTTTTCTTTCAAAAAAAAAAAAATGGTGTCTCTCCTCTCTCTCTCTCTCTCTCTCTCTCTCTCTCTCTCTATCTTTCTCTGTGTGTGTGTGTGTTCTGAACCACCTGAAGTGGGGTAGAGTGACACAAGCACCCCTCAGCTGACCTCCTGGACTGTGCTGGGTCAGACCTGAAGCTGGAACAGCACTTGTTCTTGCCCAAGACCGGCTGTAACCCCTGGCTATTGCATTTTCTCTCAAGACTCTGGGGCTTTACAATCAACATGTGACAAAGACAGCTAGCCTGTGTCCTTCCATTCAGGGCACTGTGTTATCCCAGTCCCCAGACAGGTCCACTGGAAGCCAAGGACTAGAGTCAAAAATCGAAGAAGGCTTTCTGGTGTTCTGATGTACTGTGGCTGAGCTGAAACCACAAGACACAGTCCTTCCTTCCTATTCTTTCCTCCTCATTCCAAAGAAAGTTGAGCCTAACCTCATTGCCACTGTCACTACAGACCCATGGCGAGTACTGCCAAACTACTGCCTATGTTACCTTAAGAGTCATGGGCTCTTTAGTCAGCTTGTGGTGAATATTGCCAGTCCTGAGATTCACTCTTCAGGGTAGTGGACTCCCCTCTGACCAAGGACAGGTCCAGAAATGCTGTGCAAGAGCCCAGTTTTGGAATCAGCAACCCCAAGAGACCACTTGGTTCTCTACCCCACTGTGGCTGAGCTGGTACCTAGGTGCAAGACAAAGTCCCCTTTACTTTTCCCTCCACTTTTCTCAAGCTAAAGGAGTTTTGCCCCCATAGCCACCACAGTTTGGAATGTTCTGAGTCTCACTTGAAGCCAGCAAGCCATGAATCTCACCCAAGTTTTTCAATGTATAACCTGGGTATTGCTGCTGGTTATTCAATGCCCATGGGGTCTTCAACTAGTAGGTAATGAAGGCTGCTAGTACTGATTTATTTCTTTCAAGACAATTGGTTCTTTTCTGGTGCAAGATGTCTATAAATGTTGTCTTGGAGCTAGAGCCTGGAACAGGTGCCTGATAACTCTTGACAGATGCCCTACTCTGCTGTAACTGAGCTGCTATCCAAGATGCAAGACAGAGTCCTTTCCACTCTTCCCTCTTCTCTGCTTGAGTGGAAAGAAGAGGTGTCTTTTGAAGCTTAATTGCCTCAGCTTGTGTCTCAGTAGGTCATGTGGCCCAGCAGTCTACCAGCTCTGGGCCCAGTTCATCACTAGGACTCACGTAAAAGTTGCACTGCTTGTGGCCTAGATTGCCTTTCCAGTTTATTTGGAGCCCCAGAACACTTGAGTCCACAGTGGCAAGGCTTGTGGTAACTCAAGTTTCGACAGCTGGGATCAGACATATACCTCTAGCTCAGGCTATTTAAAGGCTCCCTCCATGGCCAGAAGTCAACTGAGTTTGGTGTGGTTTTACTTTCTGCTATAACAGGATACCACTGAATTGAATGCCTTACAATTACTGTGGTCTCCCTTCCCCAGCACTCAGAAATGCTCATGATAACATGCTGCTGTTGCTGAGGGTAGAGGAGGAGTGATGTTGGTGATTCAAAACTGTTCCTTCTACCTTTTCAGTGATACAAAGTTAAAGCAAGGCACTGAGTGCTCATCTGATGTTTGATTCTTATGAAGGTGCTTTTGTTTGTTTGTTTGTTTGGATAGTTGTTAAATTGATGTCTTTATGGAGGAGATGATTGGTGGAGCCTTCTATTCTGCCATCTTGTTCTGCCTCCCGAAGGTAAGAATTTTTTAATAATAGGGAAATGATTCATTCATGTGTTTGTAGTCACTAAAACAATATTTGTGAAAAGTTTCTCTGAAAAGAAGGATTTATGTTACACTATAAATTGAGATAAAGTCAATTTACATAGAATTGTATTTCTTATTAACATTAAAATTTTAACTATATATTTATCTCAATTATCAAAGTACATTAAAACATGCATTATAATAAATAGTACATTGAATGGCAACCTGGTGTTCACGTATTGTGTTATACACATTGGGGTACTGAATAAAGTAGCTAGTATCTACTTATTTTCTGGTGGAGTTGTAAGACATATTTTACAAAAAAAGGGGAGAGTGAACATTGGATCAAATAAAATGCTAACAAGTGGTGTTTGAATAGTTAAATATAGTTTGTTTCAAAAGAACGACTTATCTGATATATATTGACATTTATATTGCACATTTTGTGAGCAAGTGAAAGTGCTGCTGGTGTTTTAGAGTCATAGTATTATGTCATTGTAGAGTCTCTATATTTGGCCAAATGAACTTTATATAATTATGGGAAGAGTTTTTTGTTGTTGTTCTTGTTCTATTTATATGCCCCCAAGTTGTTTATATTATATTTTTTAAATTTAAAAGTCACACTATTATTTAATTTTATGAATTTTTAAATCATGTAGCACAAAATTCCTTTGTTTGTATTTCACAATCTCCTTTTGTTGAAAATGTCCACCTCATAGTGATGAAATGTGAGTAGTGGAGAGGTATACTGAATAATCTGCTGACTAATAAACTTCAGAGTATTTTGTTACTTTATTTTTCCAAAGAAGACAAATTTTTATTTGCGTATATTATATTCTTTTTCTACTAGTTTTTAAAAAAATTGTCCTTATTTCTTCAGGATATGCTCAAGAAATAACCAGGTCTGTTAAGATATAGGTGAAAAGTGACTTTCAAAATGATACCAAATCTATTATATTCTCTATTATATTATATTCCATTATGTATATATAGTCTGATGGCAGAATCCTCAAAGAAATTCAGGGTTTTGGGGAAAAAAAAGAGAAGTACAGTAATTGAAAATGCATCATTTCTTGGTCTATTGGTATAATATATGTGTGAGAGATAAACAGCCAGCCTCTTAAAAGGACTGCAGTAAAACTAGTTTGCTCAGGCAACAATTGGATTTCAGTAAGAGTGACAAAGTGGATAAAACCTTTGGAAAACAATGCTGAGTGCATTTTGATGATTCATTGTGAATGCCAGATGACACAGTGAAATGTTTCCAGAAGATGGGAGAAGTGAAAGATGTGGTTACACAATGTAATGCATTAAAATTAAATTCTTAGTGATGAGAGTAACCTGAGCTGCTTATGTTGACTGACATAGGAATAAAGAATGTGATAAAATTATGAAAGTCTTCTAGCAGGAAGTGGTGGAGAGACTTTGAGTCTTAGAGTGGTATGGGGGAAGCTATTTCCAGAATCATGCAGAGCTTCTGGTCTCTCGTGAATTTATCTCTATCAGCTGAGATCTCTAGGAAATAGTGGGCAGAGAGTGGGGAACGTTTACCCAGAGTTCAGCTACTGTCTTCTCATCTACAGATGAAAGCACACCAAACTGGACTCTTATGCCAAGCACATGAGTTTCCTTTGATTTCTATTGAAGCAGGTCTCTAGGTTATCAAGGAAGAATATTGTTAAACAGTTTTATTTAATGTGTTTGAATTCTAAAGATGAAAAAAATGCAAATTATTGAAAAATAGCAAAATATTTTAATTCTAAAAAGTATTTGTGTTATCCTGAAATATACCTATGACACTAGGCCACATAGAAGATAAAGTAGAAGTGAAAGGCTATCTTAATTTCAATTTATGAATGTTCTGTTACCAGAGCAGCAAAGTTACTTCTGCCTATTTCATCAGTAAGATTAACTATTTTATGGACCCCAAATATATATTAGAATGCAGTGCAGAAAGTTTAATCATAAGTTTCTTCTCAGACCTTAATGTGAATTCATTAGTAATATTAACTATTTTATGAACCCCAAATATAGATTGCAATGCAGTGCAGAAAGTTTAATCATAACTTTCTTTTCAGACCTTAATGTAAATTGTCTCTGAGTCTCTGAAGGAATTACTCCAGGAATCTTTTGTTGTTGTTGTTTTACATAAAGTCATTAAATATATAAAACTGAAATGTCTCAGTGCATAAAGAAAGTCCTTTAGCTAAACTGCTGATTTTGACGTGTAGTCCCCACAGTAAAGACACTACAGAACAGGTATTAAGAAGGCCTCTTTGATGGATAAATAATGCTTATAGAAAGAGCACTAAATTTGGATCGCATGCTATATCTAACCCAAAGACATTGGCTAATATTTTCTGAGCTCAATATGTACCAGATACTGTGCCAAGTACTTTCATACCTCTCCTAATGCGTAAAACAACCTTAAGTGTTAGGTAATTTTATCCTATGGTTTTAACCACTGCTCCTAGTATATCACCTGCCTTTGTGACTTTGTAATAAACATGAAACTCCTCTGGGCCTCAGTTAAATAAAAGCTAAAGTGCTTATATACACACCTCTTATCAACAAGCTGAGGAAAAAGTATTGGGTTTTTTTCTCATTAAGTTTGTAAATAAATGTAGTTAATGATGTATGTGTAATAGAAAAAGGACAAAATGGAAGCACTTTGGAGGAATTTTTGTTGAGATGTTCATATCTGCTTGTGCCATTCACATTATTCAGTACTTGGGTTTTTTTTACCCACTGTCCTTTGAGACATTTTAGGATGTTGTTTGTAAATATTTTTTAAAATTTAAAAAGGCTTTGTAATTAAACAAATTAGCACAAAAGAGGTCAGTCAGCAGTCCTTCATTTGTGTTTTAATATTTTGTAACTTTTGCAGGATATAAGGCGTGGAACTGAACATTTATTTGGCTGATCCTCATCATGAATCGTGCTTTTAGCAGGAAGAAAGGTAAGTGTGGTCCTTTTTTAAAACTTGGGAGTCAAGGCAGTCTTACTATGAATATAAGCAGAGATGTTAAGAAATCAGGGTTTTTTTTCATTGTTGTTGTCAAATCACCTAGCCCAGAAATGAAGTTAGATTAGAGCAACACAAATTTCAAAATGTTGCTAGTTTTCTTTAGTTATCACCCTAGTGAAAGATCAAAGTTGTTTATTACACTGAGTTCAAGATACATATGTGGTAGTATGTTGCCTGGCAATTTGAAGCTTTTTGTGAAATTGCAAAGAATAAAATGATTTGAAATTTCATCCTATCTTTGCCTTATGTAGCCATATCATACTAAATTCCCTGGGCTGGCATAAGATTACAGTAACATACATTCATTCATAATTGTGTGTGTGCATGTACACAGGATTCATGTATTATTGAATAATATGTGAGGATTGGTAGTAGGTAAATTGAAAGCAGTGAGGCCAAAATAAGTTTGTTATTAATTTTTAGGTAACGATTTAAATAAGTATGAATGCAATATTTATAATGATCATTTATGGGACTGAAACATGGCATTTGACAAACTCATGATGCACTTATAAAGAAAGATAGAAAAATAAGTATAACTTTGTTTAGTTCAGTGAAGTTTAAATAATGTATCCTTTTAATTCTCAAAGAAGTTCTTTAATGGATGACATGGGGCTCTCTCCTGTTTTACGTATTATTAATGAATTGGGAGATAATACTTAAATAACGATAATCAAATTCATAATGATTGAAAGCAAGAAGGTAATGATACATGAATGATATAGTAGGATTACAGGTGTGTGAAGAAAAAAATGACAAGTTAGGTCACATTTCACACTATAAACTTACTAAGATACTGCAGATTGTCAAACAAGGGTCCAGAAAAGTCTAATCCTTTTATCATGATTCAAATATTGCTGTTACTTTGTAAGATGCCCCTTGAGTGCTGTGTGTGTAAAAATGGCTGAAGAATAAAGTCAACTGTGTGATTATCAAAGGCTCTGTGTCATTTTCTAATGTATGGTTAATGAAGTGTCCAGAACCATGACTTGTGTTCTGTTCAGTATCAGGCAGTCAGACACGTGTGTTCTCTTTTTGAAAGGTTATAGTGTTAACTGACACATAATGACATTCTCAGATGAGAAAGACTGAGATGACTTCAGGACTTTCAGCCATGCAACAGGAAGCATGACTGAGAACCAATTTCGTGGTAATGAGAGCTATCTTTCAATGTTTGAAGGACCATCATTTAGCCATTGGGTTGAGTTTAGTAAAGGACAAATAGGTGTAAATGATAATGCCACTGATTTAATATAGGAAGAAAGAATTCCAAGAAAGTCACTTAAAAGTTTAATTAAATTATTCAAATTACTAGCTTGTTTTGGTCTCTGAAATGAGAAGTGTTCAAACATTTGGATGTGGCAGAGAAGCTTAATATATTCAGTGGGAATTTAGATAATGTGACCTTTAAGGCACTTTTCAACCCTGGGAAGCTAGAAAATTATAATTTTACTTATTTTTTCTGGATCAGGGGAAAGCAAAATGACATTGATTATGGTGTGTAGCTGCTTCTGATTTACAACATGTACCAAAAGTAAAATAAAGTTTCTTTCATTCTTTTTACAAGTAACAACATCTATAAATAATTCTATGATGTAAGTTTTTGTTTTATTTTTATATAGAAATGTGATCTTGCTACATTGCCAGGGCTGGTTTCAAACTGCTAGCATGAAGTAATCCTCCTGCTTTGGCCTCCCAAAGTTTTGGGATTATAGGCATGAGCCACTTTGCCCAACCTGAAGTATTTTTAATAAAGTAATAGAAACCTTACATCACAACTTAACACTTTAATCATCCTAACTTATTTTTAGTAAACATTTCCAGACCTTCTCTCTCTCTCTCTCTCCTCTCTCTCTCTCTCTCTCTCTCTCTCTCTCTCTATATATATATATATATATATATATATATATATATACATATGTGTGTGTGTGTGTGTGTGTGTGTGTGTGTATATATATATGCTTACAATCCTCCCTTCCTATCACTTTAAAGTTGAAGCTTCACATTTTAAATTTACTATTTATTTCAAGGGGGTTCATAATGGTTTTTCACTGAGAAATCCCAAGAGTTGGATAGTAATATGAGTAACCAGTAATTGTATCTCTGTCTCATTTGAACACAGCGGGAGTACAACCATGGGAATAGTGAAGTGATTTGAAGAATCACAAGCAGAAGCACCTGTTCTTTCCTAATTTACTTCATTCTCTTTATTTTTCTTTAGATTTCTCTTATTTTTCGAGTCTAATGATTTAATATCAGGAAATTCATTAATATTTTGCTCCAACCTCAAGTTAGAATTTGAACTGAAAATTTTACCTTAAGTTCAACAATCAATTCTTATTCTAACATTTGGCAAAGTTGTTAAAGAAATCAATCAATAGCATTATTTGACTAAATTTTAATTTGACATGAAAAACAAATTTTATGAAATAATTTCTATATCTTGAGAAGCTGGAACTATAAGCTATAATAATTATATCACTAGAGAATATTTAATTTTTGTGTTCCCAAAAAGTACCATAAACATACACTGTGTACAGTGTCCTGAACAAAGCAAGATGGTCTTCTCTCAGTAAAAGCTTATCTCTTTATTTCATAGATGTCCAATACACTTGGTCATCACATGTAATCCTACTAAATGATCCTAAACCTCAGAAGCCTAAAGAAAAAAGACCATCTTAAACCTAAACATAATTATGTTTTTTTCTTTTAATTAAATCTCCAAATTAGCAAGTTTTTATTTCTTGATTGAATTCACTGGTTTTCTTTGCAAATGCTCTAATGGTGTTAGAGTTACTCAGAGATTCTGAAGAGTGCTGAATATAACAGAGTCATATAGTTTTGAGCTCTTTTGAAAAGCTCTTTAAAAATTAGTCAAATATAATCATAGATTAAATTTTTATGATTGTTTTGGATTCTTTCCCTGTGTTATTTTTCTCTTTTATTTAAAAAATTCTATATTCTATTTATTGTATCAAATATAAATCATTTAATAAAAAGCATTAAAAATGGCATGTAAATAAATGATCAAATAATTCAACTAATTACACTTTTTTAAAACTTAGTTGACATACTGTTGAGTAGATATCGTAATGTACAGCATTTAAAATTGAATATTTAAATGTTATTTTCTTTTTAATGAACATTTTATTAAAATATATCTATTCATTAAACAGTATTTAGTTTTAAATTTAATGTATTCAAAGTAGGTGTTTCCCCATTGTCAGCTTTCATAATACAGAAATAATGAAGTTAGTCTATATTTCTTGATGAGTTCTTAGTCTAAATGCATTTTGAAAAACTAAACTTATTGACCCAGCAATCAGAGTACTTGATATTTGTCAAATATATTGAAATGTTGGCATTTTCTTTCATGTAAGTGTTCAATATTGAATTAGTGATTTTACTTTAATTCAAGGAAGGGAGACTTTTTCTAGAATGTCTATATTCCCATTTCTGCACATTTCTGTATATCTAATTCCTTCTGTGAACACATATAGTGACCAAGGACCATCATGTGTATTTCCTACTCAAGATTTAGTCGTATCTGTAAGTTAATATAAAGAGTTTTATTCTGTCAATTTTTTTTTTTGCCAAAGTATATAAATTAGAATGACAGTATGAACTGATTTTGTAAATCCTTCAGGTTTTATGAATGTACTGCTCATACTTGAGGTTATGTAATAACCAAGCACTAAATTATCAGCACTTGACATATGGATACAGATTTTTGTCATTGTAGGAACTGCAGCTTTTCCACTGGAATTTAATATTGTGATTATTTTAGTCTGTCAGCAGAAGCAGCTTGGTATACTCTTTCTAGTTCGCTGCAATGTGAGTGTCTAACAGAGGCAATTTCAACAGTTTTCAAGTAATAGTGGTTTATAGGAGAAATAAATTATTAATATCTCTCTGCCTCAAGATTGGTATGACCCGTTGTACTGACAGTTCAGTCAGACTTTACATACTCCTGAGATGTGTTCCATGTTTTGGAAAGGAGACATGAAAAGAATTAGGTGAAAGAGTTAAAAGGAGAAATTGGGCATCTTTTTAATTTTTCTAAAGGTGTTTTTGTTGTTTTGGTGTTTTGTTGTCTTGATCAATCTAAATATTTTAAACTCCCATGAAAAATTTGATATAAAACTACACTAATGGAGACAAAATACCATTGAAGATTGAGAAGTTTTACTCCAAATAAATGCAAATTCAAAAAGAAGCCAATTTATTTTGTGTAAACATTAACATTTTTTTCTCCCCCTTATGCATTCCTCAGCATATAGGGGAAAATATGTGGACTGTATTAATAAAGTTCAAAAATTAAATTAAAAACATTAGTAATACAAATATAAATAACAAAACGTAAATAATATATAATGCAATTAGTTTCAATATTTTCTATCTTTTTGAGTTACTTTTATTTCTAATATTTTTAACACTTATAAACATTTGATTTACTGCATTTGAGATTATTTACATCCAAAACTCCTGAGAGAAGACCTTCGATCAATGTTCCTTCAGATTTAGAATAAAGATTTATCATAATATTATATTAATTTCCAAATGAACATAGTAAATTGGTATATTTCAGCTTCATACAAATGCAGTTGTTAGTATAATATGATAATTTCCCTTTAGAATAGCTAAATCTTGATGCTACAATATAATATTCACAATGAGTTAAGGAGCAGATTATATTTTATTGTTTCAGGAATTAAGAAAAAAATCCTATAATTTATGAGAGCATAAAGTGAAAGAAGAAAGATACTTGTTTTAAATCACAAATAGATGTAAAAATCATAGCCTACTGATGTTCTTTTTATATGTTCTTTTAAAATTCGGTATTATTTTTATCATTTGAAAACTTTAATAAGTAAAGCTAGGAACTTTTATACCAAAGAAAGAATTCTATATCACTCCCCAACTGCACTGTTCTTTTATCTGAGTGGTTATTCTTTCTTAATGTAGCAAAAGAATCTTAGAATTAGAAATACTTTACCCAGCTCAGATGTCCTACAAATGGTAATGCGTGGCTGTGATACCATGGAAATCTATAGTTTAACTCTGCTTCTTTTTTATTGCAGACAAAACATGGATGCATACACCTGAAGCTTTATCAAAACATTTCATTCCCTATAATGCAAAGGTAAAACTAGTTCATATACTATTTAATTTTACTTTGTTATAGTATTATTACTAATTCATGGCTAAGCTTAGATTGCTTATATATTGACATTTCCTGGTTATTGATTCCTGAAAAAAGTTTACATAAATAAAATAATTGTGGTATAGGAAGTTATTTTTCTCTGTAGAATAGGTTCTTTCAAAATATATATATATTCTTTAAAATTGCTATTTAAGTCAAATATGTGTTTTCTTCAAGTGATTTTGGTTATTGTTAAAATTATTTGCAATATAATAGCCTGTAGGAACTCAAACAACTAACAAATTAGCTTTCTTTAAAACATTTTTATGTTGCATTACACGACCTAAATATAAATCCTGCAAATGAAATGAGCTACAGTTTTAATAAATGTAATTATCATTCAAGATAAAAGGAACAAAGTTTAAATGTTTATTTTATTTTATTTAATTTATTTTTTGAGATGGAGATGTGCTCTCTAGCCATGCTGGAGTGCAGTGAGGAAATCTTGGCTCACTGCAACTACCACATCCTGGGTTCAAGCAACTGGCCCACCTCAGCCTCTTGAGTAGCTGGAGTTACAGGCACATGACACCATTCCCAGATAATTTTTGTATTTCTAGTAGAGACAGGGTTTCACCATGTTGGCCAGGCTGGTCTCGATCTCCTGACCTCAAGTGGTCTGCCTGCCTCGGCCTCCTAAGATGCTGGGATAACAGGCCTGAGCCAGTCTGCTCAGCCTAAATTATTTTTAAAAGCACACCAAAATATGCCCTTTAAAAGTTATTTTGTTCAAGTTGCTGCATTTTAATAGAGAAGTGGAAACATTAATCTATACTCTGTGTCTTTGAAGATTTCATTTGTTCTTGAAAAACTAGACAAATGAGTGAATTCAGTTTGCAACAGGGACTTTAAATAAAGGTACTATATTGTAGTTAGTGATCACCAAACTTGTAATAATTTTCAAGGGAACTATCAGTCAAAATTTGGAAGAGAGAAATGAATTAAGGAAGGGATTAGAAATATTGGAATCAAATGTAAAAGCAGCTGAACTTTGGAGACAGAATAGGGAAAAACAAAACATATCTTTATAAGAGAACTTAAGGGTTTATGGATTTATAAAATATACACTGGGATACAGTGAGATTAGGCATAACAATTATTTCAGGAAAAATATAAGAATGTTTGTTGAGGAGAAAGTTAATGGTGTTTATTAGGGAACACCCGGAGTTCTTATCTAAGTCTGAATCAGAAGGAAGAAATATTTAAAAGCTCATCTAGAAGAAGTTATTCCAGAGCTGTTGCTCAGCAGTGAAATTTGGAGAGTGCTACTATCTCTTTTTTTTTTTTCTTGCTGACTTAGCAGCAAAGGAAATGCTCTGAAATGTTTTCTGTATGAACATACCATATTTGAAATCACTATAGTGCTTATGAATTTTTCTATAAACTTAACATAAAGGTTGATTGCCCTAATTTAGCATGAAAAGTTTAGTTAACTGAATGAGAAAAATTGTTTATGTTATCCATCATTCTACAGATATTGTTCATATTAGCTATTGATATACTGTATGAAATCTATACTGAAAAATATTTTAATCTGGAAAGCTGCTATGATTTTAAAGTGCATCCTCAGTTTTTGATATTATCAATTATAGTGGAATTATATGCTCCAGTTGAAACCATCAAGATTATTTTTATGTGACTGATATGTCTCATTTGAAAACAGCTTTATAAAATATTATAAGGTTATATTATAATTAGATCTATCTTTGACTCTGCCAATCATTATGCTTGTCAACATGGAAAAGTTGCTTCTGCCAATTCATTGAAGCATAACAATTTTAAGACATTCTATAGGAAGTGGAGGGTGCAGAACATTTTCCCAGACTTGGGCCAGTAAAATATGGAAGGGCAGGATGGCTTTGTCTATTCTAACATGGACTCATGAATGATAACGTATATTGTACGTGTACCAAGTAGCATTAAAACCATTTGAAGAGTAGTTAGTTTTTTCTGAATTCCTTTGTTTGTGGCACTTTTTAGGTTGACCTTATAGTAGAGTTATTTTTGAAGATATTCTTGTTATAGAATATGCCACTCGAAAACCAAATCCATGACCACAGAAAGTAGCTTAGCACAATAGAAAAAAAAAAATACAGACTCTAGAGCTAGATTGCTTTGGTTTATATCATGACTCCAACTGTGTGCCTTTGGGAAAATTATTTACTGTGTGCCTTTGGGAAAATTGCTTAACCTATTCTATGATTATTGATCAATAAATATGGACAGTAACAATAGTAATTTCTCACTTGAATTGTTAAGGAATTAGTGCTACAACAGTGTCTGAAATAGTGGAATTTTTTTCTCAGGTTAACATCAATTCTGTCCCTCAGTTCTGTTCTTAGAGCCATTCAATTGATTGGTTCTGGCCCATCCAGATTATCCGGGATTATCTCCTTTACATAAAGTGAACTGATTAGAGATGTTAATCATATCTATGAAATAACTTTACTGCAACACCTTGATTAGAATTTGATTGAATAACTGGGCACTATTAACTTAGCCAAGTTGACACATTAAATTGATCTCATACAAGTATTAATGATGGACAAGGTTAAAAAGGCAAATTGGGAAGGAAGGCTTTGAATGGCAGAAGCAGCAGTTTGGGCTGTAAATAAATCCAACAGGATTTTAGGAAGATAAATCAGTAGTGATTAAAAAAAAAAAAAAAAGTCAGTTTGGATCAAGAGAGATAGAATGACATTAAACTTCTTAGGAAGTTATTTTAATGGTCCAAGTGTGTGGTATAAGTTTACAATAGGATAGTAGATAAATTTCAAGTGGAAAAGAAAGATATGCTTAATATTCCAGAGGAAGAACTGATGTAACATAGGAATGGTATATAAGTAGAGAATAGGAAAAATACCTATTTTCATCATGGCTAAAAGCGAGAAACGATCACATCATTAGAAGATTATTGTCACTTCACTCACTTTTGGCAACCACCGTTTACAAATTAATCTGATAAATTCAACAGAATTCTTTAAGAATTATTATTCTCCCTGGGAAATATGTAATATTTATGTTGAAGTGTCTTCAGTTTTAAAGCATTAGTCTGTTTTATATTATAATTCTTTTTCAGAATACATTTTAGTTCTACATTATTTCATTTTATGGAACATTGATTTCAAAAATTCACATTTAATATTCATAATGTAATGATTTCAGATCACGTGTCGATATAAAATAATAGATGGTTTTAAATAAGCATTGTTCCATGTAGGGTTCATTAGTTTTGGAGTTTGCTTTAATGTGCAGTGACAGCGTTAATATTAGTTCATTGGGAATCTTTTATATTATCCTGTGTACTGGGTAGTGATGTTTCCAAGCTGAAGGTTATTACCTATGAAAAAATGTGGTCATGAAATCAATGTAGTTGGTCATGGGGACATGTATTTAGAGATGAGTAACAAGGGCAAGAAAGGTGATTGCAGTTCAAGCTGAGTACGAGCCAGAGGAGAATAGTACTGAGAATCTGAATATATTTTTAAAGTAAAGCTGATGGAATCAATAGACAGATTATATACTAGTTTCTTATTGCTACTATAATTAGAACATTAATGCAGAAATTTAAAGATTCCCTTCCCTTTACTATTTTATGGGAATGCTAAACTCTCTTTTCTATAAAGGTAAAATGCTAGCAGACTTGTATTTTAATCAATTTATTATTCTGTTAAAGTGAGACAGTCATTTCCTAGATGAAGAATTGTGACAAATGTTTCATAAAAGCATTTATTTAATATTTTATTCTAAAATGTATAATTATCCTCCAAAAAGTTTAATGTATTTATCCTTTTATGAAAAATCTAGCTTTAAGATACACAAAAATACAGGAATATATAAGAATGAAGTTTTAAAGAGAATACTACCTTATTTTGCACCAGGTAGCAGTAGAGAGAGTCAGCATTCCTTGATTATCTGTTTACTGTTTTCCAAGCTCTAAAAGTGAGCAAATCTAAAACAAATAGGAGCATGGACCTTCACCTTAAAAACTTACAACTTCCCTGTGGAGAGAAAACCATCACATGAAACAGAAAGAATTTTGGAATAAAAGTATATAATTATAACCAACATCTATGTTGTTTTCTTCTAAACTATGGAACATCTTAAAATCAAGTACAGAAATATAACATGAGGCAGTCCTTGCAAACCCTTTCAAAACCATATCAGGGAGTTTTACAAGTGAGAAAACTACATAGATCATCACCAACAAAATAAAATACAAATGTCAAGGAGAGGTTTACAAAGAAAGATTGCCTTACATTTCAATGCTTTCTAGTGGTATCAGAGTTTTACATGTGAAATGTGCACTGTTTGCCACTTGGTATGTTTAATCAGAGAGAAGGATTGCTGCTGACCCAGTAAATTATGTTGTTTCTAGTGAGGCTTTCTCATCTTTACAACCTAAATTTGCCAACATGTGTAACCTATGAGCTTTTATTCGGCTTCAAAATACAAACAAAATAACAAAGAACAAAAACACTGCCTTCATCCCCCCACCCACAAAAATGTAATATCAGATGTGACAGTAAGATATTAGAACGTGAGGATTCTAACCGTTAGCAGTTGGTTGAAAACCACATCTTGGACACTTACATTTGAAACTTTAACTAACCTGCTCAATAGTAATCATAGAAAAAATCAGAACCTACATATCTGACATGCTTAGATGCACCCCTCAAGAGTAAGCTCTAAACCAACAACTCTATTGATTCTACCAGAATTTTGTAGCCACATGGTTGCTGCATCCTATTACAGTAGTCAGTGCAGCCACTCCTGGGTCAAACTACTTGGGTTCAAACTTCTACTGTCTCAACTGATATCAGAATTATGTTTTCTTTAATTTAACTTATATATGAGATTAATAACTACAAATATCAAACTGGATTGTTATGAGATGTAAATGAGTTAATATATATTTTTTAAAACTTAGATCAGTTTCT